CATTTTTCCCCCTGGTTCTTGAATCGCTGGTTGGGGGGAAAAAAGCACATTTCTCTGGGGTATAAAAGGTGCATCAAACATAGCCAGAACACTTTCATAGTCCTCTTTGTGACTGTCTTCTGTAAAATCAAAGGATATAAAGAGATGCTCTGACTTCTTCTCCATCACCTACATTAAAAGAGATACTGGTAGATCTCCAGTTTCCCAGTGGAACTTTTTTGCAATTCAGAATTTTGTAATTCAGAATCTTACTGTCTGTCCATTGTGAAGGTTTGTCAAAGCTGAAGTTCTCTTGGGCACTGAAGAGCAGTATGTTGATGAGATCCTGCAGCCTTTGTTGCTTTGTTCTTTCTGTTTACTTCTGACACCATGGCATGTTCCTAGATCAGATATGGACTGGCTACAGAACTTGCATTTGCACAAGGTACACACTAGTTATGTTCGTTCTAAGATCCTTTAATGCTCTGCCAGGTATGGCTGAGGCTAATGTAAATAAGGTATTTTACACACAGTGCCATGTAGTGGCTGAACTGTGTAATAGAGTTTAGCATTCCTTTACACAAGTCCATGACATTTAGGAGGTGGGAGGCAGAAGGGAACATGCCAATTGAGACCTTTTGTTGACAAGCACTTTGCTCACGCATTCTGTGACCACTATTTTCCTATTCCTCCAGGTCCAGTCTGACTCTAGCAGTCCTTATCTAGGTAATTCATAGTTTATGCGTGCGCGCGCAAACGTATTGAATACTTGCTGCCTCTAATATTCCAGTGCCCTAGAGAATTGCCTCTTTCAACTGCATGGTTTAGTTGGTGGTTCTGGCTGAGGTTCAGCAGCAGCTCAGCCCTAGGGAAGTTAGGCCTGTTGCTGCTTGCACCCTGCACGCTCTGTGGGCAAGCTGACATAATGGCTATACTGGGTCAGACCAGTCGTCCATCTACCCCAGGACCCTGTGTTCAGACAGTGGTTGGTGCCAGGTGCTTCAGAGAACAGAACAGGGCAATTATGGAGTGACCCATCCCCTGTTGTCCACTTCTGGCAGTTAGAGGCTTAGGACACCCAGAGCAGGGGTGTGCACCCCAGACCATCTTTGCTAATAGCCATTGATAGACCTTGCCTCCATGAATGTAGTTAACTCTTTTATTTTTTTACTTGTATTTTTGGTCTTTACCACATCCCATGGCAATGAGTTCCACAGGTTGACTGTGAGTTGTATGAAAAAGTACTTCCTTTTGTTTGTTTCAAACGTGCTGCCTATCAGTTTCATTGGTTCATGTGTTTTTATGTGGAAGAGTAACCAACACTTCCTTACTCACTTTCTCCACACCATTCATGATTTTGTAGGCCGCTGTCATATACCCCTTTAGTCATCTCTCTTCCAATCTGAAAAGTCAGTCTCTTTAAGCTCTCCTATGGAAGCAGTTCCATACTTCTAATCATTTTTGTTGCCTTTCTCTGTACTTTTTCCAATTCTAATATACCATTTTTGAGATGGGATGGCCAGAATTGCATGCAGTATTCAAGGTGTAGTTGTACTATGGATTTATATAGCAGCATTATATTTTCTGTCTTATTATATATCCCTATCCTAATGGGTCCAAACATTGTTAGCTTTTTTGACTGCCGCTGTACAGTGTACATTCTCCTGTACACCGTGCAGATGTTTTCAGAAAACTATCCGCATTTACTCCAAGATCTTTTTTGAATGATAACAGCTAATTTAGACCCCATCATTTTGTATGTATGGTTGGGATTATGTCTTCCAGTTGCATTACTTTGCATTTATCAACATTGAATTTCATCTGTTTCTCTTGTTGCTCAGTCACCCAGTTTAGTGAGATCCCTTTGTAACTCTTCACAGTCTGCTTTGGACTTGACTATCTTGAATAGTTTTTTGTATCATTTGCAAATTTTGCTACCTGACTGTTTGTTTACCTCCTTTTCCAGATCACTTAAGAATATGTTGAATAATACTGGTCCCAGTACAGATCCTTGGGTGACACCTCTCTTTACCTCTGTCCATTCTGAAAACTGGCCATTTATTCCTACCCTTTGTTTCCTATCTTTTAACCAGTTGCTGGTCCATGAGAGGACCTTCCTCTTATCCCAGGACTACTTACTTTGCTTAAGAACCTTTGGTGAGTGACCTTATTGAAGGCTTTCTGAAAGTCCATGTATACTATATGCTCTGGATTACTCTTGTTCATGTTTGTTGACCCCCTCAAAGAATTCTAATAGATTGATGAGGCATGATTTCCCTTTACACAAGCCATGTTGACTCTTCCCCAACAAATCGTGTTCATCTATGTGTCTGATAATTCTGTTCTTTACTATAGTTTCAACCAACTTGCCTGGTCCTGAAATTAGGCTTACTGGCTTGTAATTGCCAGGATCACCTTGGAACCTTAAAAAAAAAAAAAAAAATTGGCATGACAATAACTATCCTCTAGCTATCTGGTACAGCAGCTGATTTAAGGGACAGGTTACATATCGCAGTTAGCAGTTCTGCAATTTCATATTTGAGTTTGTTCAGAACTCTTGGGTGAATACTATCTGGTTCTGGTTACTTCTTACTGTTTAATTAATCAATCTGTTCAAAACCTCCCCTACTAACACCTAACTCTGGGTCAGTTCCTCAGATTTGTCACCTAAAAAGAATGGCTGAGGAGTAGGACTCTCTCTCTCTCTACATCCTCTGCAGTGAAGACTGATGCAAAGAATTCATTTAGCTTCTCCTCAATGGTCTGTTCTTCCCTGAGTGCTCCTTTAGCACCTCGATTGTTCAGTGGTCCCACTGATGGTTTGGCAGGCTTCCTGCTACTGAGGTACTTAAAAAAAAAAAAAATTGCTGTTAGTTTTTGAGTCTCTTGCTAATTGCTCTTCAGATTCTTTTTTGGCCTGCCTAGTTATACTTTTACCTTTGCCTTGCCAGAGTTTATGCTCTTTCTATTTTCCTCAGTAGGATTTGACTTCCAGTTTTTAAAGGATGCCTTTTTGCCTCTAACTGCTGCTTTTACTCTGTTTAGCCACAGTGGCATTTTTTGGTTCTCTTACTAGGTTTTTTAATTTGGGATAAACATTTAATTTGAACTCTTATTATGGTGTTTTTAACAAATTTCCATGCAGCTTGCAGGCATTTCACTCTTGTGACTGTATCTTTTTTTAATTTCCATTTAACTAGCTTCTTCATTTTTATGTAGTTCCCCTTTCTGAAATGGTACTATGGTGGGCTTTTTTGGTATTTTCCCTTCTACAAAGATGTTAAATTTAATTATATTACTGTGATTGCTATTACCAAGCAGTTCAGCTAGAGTCACCTCTTGGACCAGATTCTGTACTCCACTTAGGACTAAATCAAGAATTTCCTCTCCCCTTGGTGGGTTCCTGGGCTAGTTGCTACCAGAAACGGTCATTAATGGTGTCTAGAAATTTTATCTCTGCATCCTGTCCTGAGGTGAAAGGTACCCATTCAATAGGGGGATAGTTGAAATCTCCCATTATTATTGAGTTTTCTATTCTTATAGCCTCTCTAATCTCCCTGAGCATTTCACAATCCCCATCCTAGTCAGATGGTCAGTAATATATTCCTACTGGTAGACTCCTATTATTCAAGCATGGAATTTCTCTCCATCGAGATTCTATAGTGCAGTTTGATTTAAGATTTTTACTATATTTGACTCTATGCTTTCTTTCACATACAATGCCACTCCCACACCAGCACGACCTACTCTGTCATTCCTATATACAGTATATACTCGATCATAAGCCGGTTCGTTTATAAGCTGACCCCCACCAAGATGGATAAGTTTTTAAAAATGGAAAATTTTTATGAAGCATTCATAAGCCGACCCTATAATTCAGGGGTCAGCAAACTTTGGCTCCCAGGCCATCAGGATAAGCTGCTGGTGGGCTGAGATGATTTGTTTACCTCGAGCGTCTGCAGGCACGGAGGTAAACCTAAGTAAGCAAAGTGTCCCGGCGCACCAGCTGCTTACCCTGATGGGCCGGGACAGCAACTGATGGGGAAATTTTTTGGTGGGGGAGAAGCTGGGGGTCAGGGGAGTAACCCCGGTGACAATCCCCCACATACCCCATCCCTTCCCACCTTGTCTGGGGAGGGCCAGGGGAGGATGTCTCTGGCCTGGCCAGAGCTGGTCCGGCATGCTGGGCAGCGTGGCCACAGCCTGCTCCAGTGGACCAGACCAGGCAGCGTGGCTGCAACATGTTCCAGCAGGCTGGGCCAGGCAGCATGGCTGCAGCGGGCCGGGCGGCATGGCCACAACCTGCTCTGGTGGGTGGGGCTGAGCAGTGCGGCTGCAGCCTGCCAGCCCTAGAGCTGCAGCTGCTTCAGCGGCTGGGGGGAGAGCTGCGTGGCCAGAAGCGGAGAGACTCTGGCCCCACCTCTTCCCTTCTGGCTGTGCTGCCTCTCCTTGCCCCTTCTGTTGGGGGGAGGGGCTGTGTCCCACCTCTCCCTCTATACCCGTTCATAAGCCGACCCCATTCTTTGATGCTTCCCTTTTTTACTAAAAAAAAAAAAAAAATTCGGCTTATGAATGAGTATATACGGTACTTTGTACCCTGGTATTTAAGTGTTCTGTTGATTATCATTGTTCCACCAGTCTTCTCTGATGCTTATTCTATCAATATCCTCATTTATTACCAGGCACTCAAGTTCACCCATCTTAGTATGGAGGCTTCTAGCATTTGTATACTTAAAAACTTAAAAAAACACTTAAATTTGTCAGTTTTTAGTTATGTGATATAATTGAATTGAAACTCTTTTTCATTTGACTGTTTCTCTTCAGTTCCTACATGTACTTTATCAGCTTCTGACAGTGGTGGAAACTGAACACTGCTTTGTCTGTCTGGCATTTTTCATAGCACTGAACTTAATACTTAAAATTGTAAACTGTTAAAACAAAGTTCACTGTGGTGAGAGATTTTCTTGGGGTGTCAACTATTTTATCAGCTGCCAAACTTGACTTTTGCTTATTCTTTCCAGACTCTGCTTCAAAAGGAAAAAGATCAGAATCAGATGGAGCTCCATGCAAAACTTGAAAAGCTTGAAGTCCTAGAAAAAGAGTGCTTCAGACTTAGCACTACACAGAGAACTGCAGAAGTAAGCAATCCTAACATGATCATGTGCAGTTACAGTTCATTTCAAATTTCTTTGTGCCACAGTTGCCAATTTTGTGCTAAGATACACAGACCATTTATCAACTGTAGCTCCAGCAGAGGAGTATAAGATCTCAACATTCACTTTGCCTTCTACCTCAGACTTCATTTCCTATAAATCTGAGGAATTTAAGCCTGCTTAAGAAGATTAGTAATTTTGACTATTGCAAGATTCCTTCAAATCTTGCAGCCTTAAATGTGACTAACCATACTAGTGTTCTGTTTCAGGACAAGATCAAACAATTGGAGGAAAAACTTTGTGAAGAAGAGCATCAGCGTAAGTTAATACAAGACAAAGCTGCTCAGGTAGGATAGCCAAATTACTGGATTTATTGCTGAGGAAATAGTGTCTCTCTTCAAGACACTTTTTTTTTTTATAACCTGTTTATTAGCTTGGAAAAATTCTGTAACGCTAACTTGACAACTCCAAATGATGATAAGCTTTGCTTAATGGGATTTATATTATGTACATTTGGCTTCTTCTAGAACATCAGTTCCATAGGTAAGGCTGAGTTGTGTTTTGAACTTAAAGCAGGGATTCAACCTTTTTTTATTTCTTTTAAATGCATGAAGAATACAGCACATTCGCCTCAAAATTAGAGTACATTCTCATTGAATAAACAATGAATTTTCTGAGAATTTTTATAATTTAGTTTAACTTAAAATTTAATTATAAAATGGGTCAATTAAGCAACTTAGCATCCTAAGTTAAACTTTTTGTCCTGAACTATCTTAATAGAATAACACAGACTTTCAACTTTCCATATGGTTAAATCCTATACATCTGGCTACACTTAGAGACCTTTTTCTTTGTAAGATTCATTTTTTCACTATTAAATAAAAAATTTCTTCATCAGAGGCTGAAAAATAAATGATCTTCTATAAAGAATTCCATGAACTGATTTTTCCTGCCAGGGCCACCGTCTTTCCTGAGTGCAGCTTGATTTTACTCACACTAAGAACACTGAGAGACAGTAGTCATTTTAAAAGTGGGCATGTTCACTATGAGCAGTCGTAGCCTCCAGTCCTTGCCTACAGACAGCCCCGCAACCTGAAGCAAATACTCACCAACAACCACATACCACACAACAGAACCACTAACCCAGGAACCTATCCTTGCAACAAAGCCCGTTGCCAATTGTGCCCACATATCTATTCAGGGGACACCATCACAGGGCCTAATAACGTCAGCCACACTATCAGAGGCTCGTTCACCTGCACATCCACCAATGTGATATATGCCATCATGTGCCAGCAATGCCCCTCTGCCATTTACATTGGTCAAACTGGACAGTCTCTACGTAAAAGAATAAATGGACACAAATCAGATGTCAAGAATTATAACATTCAAAAACCAGTCGGAGAACACTTCAATCTCTCTGGTCACGCAATCACAGACATGAAGGTTGCTATCTTACAACAAAAAAACTTCAAATCCAGACTCCAGCAAGAAACTGCTGAATTGGAATTCATTTGCAAATTGGATACTATTAATTTAGGCTTAAATAGAGACTGGGAGTGGCTGAGTCATTATGCAAGGTAGCCTATTTTCCCCTTGTTTTTTCCTACCCCCCTCCCCCCCGACATTCTGGTTAAACTTGGATTTAAACTTGGAGAGTGGTCAGTTTGGATGAGCTATTGCCAGCGAGAGAGAGAGAGAGAGAGTGTGTGTGTGTGTGTGTGTGTTTTGTGGGGGGAGGGGGTGAGAGAGCCTGGATTTGTGCTGAAAATGGCCCACCTTGATTACCATGCACATTGTAGGGAGAGTGGTCACTTTGGATGAGCTATTACCAGCAGGAGAATGAGTTTGTGGGGGGGGGCCAGAGGGTGAGAACCTGGATTTGTGCTGGAAATAGCCCAACTTGATGATCACTTTAGATAAGCTATTACCAGCAGGACAGTGGGGTGGGAGGAGGTATTGTTTCATGGTTCTCTGTGTGTATATAATGTCTTCTGCAATTTCCACGGTATGCATCCGATGAAGTGAGCTGTAGCTCACGAAAGCTCATGCTCAAATAAATTTGGTTAGTCTCTAAGGTGCCACAAGTACTCCTTTTCTCATTAAGAACTATACTAGGTAGCAGCCGTTTTGAAAGAGGGCAGTTCTTTTTGGAGTTTATTGTAGAAAAATACTTACTCTTCAGCTCTTGTGTTGCACAGACCTAACAATTACAGAAATGTGGATCTAGAAGGGACCTCAAGAGGTCATCTAGTCCAGCCCCCTGTGCTGAAATAGGACTAAGTACACCTAGACCATCCCTGTCAAGTGTTTGTCCAAACTACCTTGAAAGCCTATTCCAGAACTTAACTACCTGTATAGTTATAAAGGTTTTTCATAATATCTAACCTCTATCTCCCTTGCTCCAGATTACGCCCGTTACATTTTGTCCTACTTTCAGTGGTCAACACATAACAAATGATCGCTGTCCTCTTTATAACGCCCCATAACATATTTGAAGGCTGTTATCAGGTCCCCCTTCAGTCATCTTATCTTAAGATTTAAACGTTCACTTTTTTTTTAACCTCTCCACATAGGTTAGATTTTCTAAACCTTTTTGTCATTTTTGTTGCTCTCCTCTAGACTCTCTCTCCAGTTTATTTACATCTTCCCTAAAGTGTGGCACTCAGAATTGGACATAGTACTCCAGCTGAGGCCTCACCAGCACTGAACAGAGCAGGACAATTACCTCCCGTGTTTTACATATGACAGCATTTTACAATAAGAGAATCTAGCTCCTTACCCATTTTCACCATTGCAGTCGCCTCCTACAGCAGTTCCACCACAACCTCACTGGCTTCCATCAGTCAGGAACTGTAGAATTACCCCAACACCTCAAGGACTCAACTGAATGCCACAGTCCAAAACACAATCCTCTGGGTCTCTCCCTTAACTGGTTTTGCTAGCACATAAGCCTTCTGTGCATGTCTGACCTTATTAAAAAAAATACATAATACAAAGCTTGCCTAGAGCAATTAATTTGTCTTCAGTGCCACTGCAGAGAGACTCCATCAGTGCAAGAAAGGACTCTGGTGCAGTAATGTGATCAGTATGCTGACTACTAGTCAGACTTTACCATAATCCAGGATCTATCAGAGTTGGTTTTGGGGTGGGAAACCTTCTGTTACAGGTCAGGTGCCATGACTCTTCTCTTCAACCTTCTCTTGATTCACGCTCAGTGAAGTATCTGGCTGGAGTAGTTTGAGCTGATGATAGTTTTACTGCATCTTTTAGCCAGGTCTGCTTATATATGCAAAGACAGAGGCCTCATCCCTTAAAGGGATGAATGGTAACTGCCCTATTACACTAATCTTGTATAGACAACAGTAATTATAAAGTAATCCCTAGAAAAAACCCTCACTTGGACAATGGGACTGATGCTAAATGTTGCATGACAGGTGATAGATCACTCAATTGCCCTATTCTGTTGGTTTGCTCTGAAGTGTCTGGCTCTAGCCACTGTTGCAAGACAGGACACTCGTCTAGATGGACCGTTGGTGACCCAGTATGTCCATTCCTATGTTGTCCAAACCTCTTCCCGCTTTAAATGGCCATATCCCTAGCTCACTGCAGCATTAGTTGTGGTAGTCCAAGAGATACAGTTGCTGTACTTGGGTTTGGAAATAGCAATCTCTAAGGCAGCGTTGCAAGGTATATTTGATACCATGACATCCTGTATCCTATTCAGTCTCCATATCCTCTTTTATAATCCTCCTGCCTCCCAGAGAGTTCAGTTAGTAATGCATCTAATTAATCCTCTTTCATGTGTGGATGAAGATTCAATCTGTGCTATTTAAAAAATTTTGATATTTAAATACTTTATTCTCATTACTATAGCTTCAAACTGGGCTTGAGATAAATAGAATTTTAATGTCTTCAGTGTCGCCTCAAAATGAGCCAAAAAAGAAAAACCGGAAAAAGAAAACTGCAAAGGTAACATGCAAGTTTGTCATTTGCACAGTGATAATGTCTCTAACATGCCTCTCTTATTTTTGTAGCATCTCATTCATGGAGTGATAGGGATGCTACTGGAAAAGTGGTGATGGGTGGGGTTCTGTTGGCTCTCTATACTCTGTCATTTACTCTGGAAATATAACATGCTGTTTTTCCCTCTCTTTAGATAACTAAAATATGTTTAATGTGGTAAAGCCTACTTTTAAAATAGAAAACTTGCACACTCCAGCAGAACCTTAAACTATGCGTGGCCATTTCACTGGCCTGTGTTCATGCCCTTAGTCGATTTTTGAATTTACTTTCAAAGACCACTTGAATTAGGATTTTTTTTTTTTTTTTTTGAAATGCTGTAGCAAGTGTCATACTGAAGGCAAGAAGAACTTCACCCACTGCATTCTTTTCATCCATAGGCATTGCAGGTCTGCTAAAATGACATGACTTGTAAAACTGAGTCTGTTAAATGCCACAGAGACAGTGCTAAATTTCTCAAATCGTAATCTACTACTGAGTTGTCAGATTAACTGTGTACTAGATCTCAGTCTTATTGGAAATTCTTCTGTATTGGGGAGAAGTAGGAAAACTTTAATACCCATTAAAGGAGATGAATTGAGACTGCATATTTCACCGGCTATTATGGAGCACTGCTTTTGTATGGAAAGATTTGTTGCCTAAGTGTAGCTCAGACTTGTTCTCACTGGGGCGGGGGGGGAGGAAAGGTTTGTTGACAAAATACTTGGGTTACCCTCTTCTTTATTATTTGTATTGTGGTAGCACTTATAAGCCTCAGTCATGGGGCAGGACCTTGTTGTGTTAGACACTGCTCAAAGACATAACAAAAACAGCCCCTGCTTCAAACCGTTTACAGTCTAATTTGAAAGAATAATTTTAAGGTTGCACTGTTAGGCAAACATGTCTTCTGTCTACCGTCTGTCAGAAAAAATCTGCTCTGAAGAAAGTACATCCTCCACAATTTTGCCTAAAGGCTGGGATGCTGCCTTTTGTGGCTGGGAAGGTGAGCCTGATTTAGATTCTCATTTAAACATGTGTCCACGTTCTTTTTAAATGAACATTTTTCCATTAATTACCTTAATTATAGCTGCTTACAGAAGTTTCCTTTTCTCCTCTCAAGTCTGCCAGCTCCAGCCATTCTGTTAGTGCAAATGTACAAAGTGTCTTACATATGATGAAACATCGTAGTCCATGTGTCTTGTCACGGTGTCCAGAAGCAGCTGAACACAGGATTTCTAGACGAACTATTGCATGCAAATCTGTATCCTCTTGTTCCACATCATCTTCTGTCACTGAAAATCTATCTGACCTTTTGCTGGCGATACAAGATGAGCTAGGCCAAATGAGCTTGTAAGTATGTATCTGTGTATTATCCCCCAAAGGATAAAAAGACTGTGATGCTCTGAGTAAAAATGACTGCAAGCTGAAGCCATGTGAGGGCTATTTAGAGGTTGTACTAGAGCATGTTTGGGTCTAAAAATATTTGGGGAGTGGGGTTTGGGTGGATCTTGCAGATAGGATTTTCTCTCATTGGGAAGTTTTTATAGCCCTTGCATTTAAACAGCTTCACGAGTAGATAGTGAAGGTTCTTTTGTACTTTTGGGGCTTTTTTTTTTTTAAAGCCACACTTATGATATTCATGCAGCAGGCTGTCTAAAATGAGGCCTGAAGGATATCCTTATCCTCAAACCTACACACAGCACAATGGTAGGTTTTCTTTTGGAGAAACCTTTTATCTGATACCTAGAAGAGTAAGCCATATTGCTGTTGGGGTGTTGCCAGCTTTGACCTTATTGTGACTGACAAGAGGCCCGAGATGAAAGGGACATGATTAGGACAACTGCATGGGTTGGAGACTAGATGTCCTGCTGGTGTCCATCTAGTCCTTGTAAATAGCATATGTGTTTTGAATCCACATAGCATTTTAAAATTCCTATGTTACAGATCATGCTGAAATAGTTGTTGATCTTCATTTCAGGACATGTGGCATTGATTAATCTAAGCTGTTTGCAGAATCTCTTCACAAAGCTCTAGTTATAACTCCCTTATTAGTTGTGTGCCAATCAGAGAAAATATTTGATTTAGAGTAGCAATTTAAGCTGGAGGAATTTATGAAGAGAAGAAATAATTATTTATTTTCAGTTGTGCTCACTTTGTGCTAGGCATTGTATTAAAATATAAAAGAAGGCATGGCCCTTTGCCACAAAGAACTTGTTGATCAATAACTTCTAACTGTGAAATGTTCTTATCCTTTGTAACTAATGTATAGCTTAGCTTTACTATATACATTAGGGAGCTCTAAACTACACTTTCTATCATTAGTTTGTAGAGTGAAATGTTTGGAACCGTAATTGCCTGAAGCAACAAACCATGCAGTTAATTTTGCCCAATAGAATTCTTAATTTTACTTGATTAATTTGACAAAAGAACTATAACTTTCATTAGTGGTTGTAAAACAAGTTTTTCTGAATTATGTTAAGTGCTCTTACTCTGGGGCAACTTAGATAGGGGTTGGAATTGGCCAGTATACATTTTTTGTGTATATTGCCTGCTATTTACTTTAATGGGATCTTTAATTTTTCACATTCCAAATAGCCATTGTGCATGATTCTGCAGTACCAGCACATTCTCTGGTGCTTATTTCCTCAATCTTGAGAGAGAAATGGTTGTGATGTAACAAAATGAGTATACTATCTGCAGGCTCAGAGTAGAAGGAAAATAAGTAATGGAAAAAATATGAACGTTTGAGTATCTTATTTTATGTATTTATTTAGTATAAAAAGTATTAGTTGTGTGTCACGGTGATTAACCTGCTTTATTTCTCTAGTGGGGAGACCTCCTGGAGTTGAAACTTGTGCAATGTAACAAAAGTACATGTAAGAAGAATGTTGTTCAAATATACCACCAATACTATTGTCTAATATCTTTGTCTCTAACAGTGAGCATCAAGAACTCTTGAAGCAGATACAAGAAACTCAAAACTGTGAAGTTCGTGAAGACCTAGAACGTGAATTGGATTGTCTTGTAAAGCAAATGGAAATTAAAGGGGAACAGATATCTAAGTTGAAAAAACACCAAGCTAGTGTAAGGAAATTTTTAAAGAGTTTACTTAGAAGCAAACTATTGGAATATGATGAAAATAATTTTTCATGATGTTGCTAGAGAGAGAGAGCCAGTGCCTACCTTTAGAATGTACAGTCCCGTTGGGATTCCAAGACAAATAGGTTCAAAGGTGCTGAGGCTTTAGGTAAATATTTAGATTCAAGGGCTGATACTGAACATCTGGAAAGAAGCTAAAGTGGAAAACATTACCATAAGTAGGATATTATAACTGATGAGGGCTGGTTTACATTGAAAAGTTATATCTATGATACATGAGGGCCAGGGAGCAGTGGGAGAGTGCTAGAGGGGAAATATATAAACTCAAGACTAAAGCGTGGTTCCCTGTAGACTAGGGAAGGCGGTTGCAGGTTAATTGGAGCACCTGCAGTCAATTAAGGCCCTGTTAGGAAACTAATAAACCCCCCTGCTTCAGGCAGACAGAGGAAGAGGAGGAAGGAGAGAGGACTGGAGATTGGAGGTGTGCTGTGAGACTTGGAAAATCAGAGAACTGAAGTAAGGGCCCAGTAGGGGAGGGAGACTCCCTTCCCCAGCATCTAAGCACTGCAGGTACCCCACCTAAGGGGGAAGAACCCACAGGGGTTGAGAGGGGCTGGGGCTCAGAGTGAGGAGCAAACCCAGACCCCTCCCCAGCTTCCCTCCTTTAGCACCTTCCTGGGCCACTAGCGGGGCCATCGATACCCCAAGAACAGGGGCAAGGGGTGGCATCTTACCTCCCTGCCAAGAAAAGCACAGGACCCACCAGACTAACAATGGCCATCTTGTCACACTGCATAGCAACATCTCTTGGGCATATGAAAAATCCACACCCCTGAGAGATGTAGTTAAGTTGACTTAACCCCTAGCTACCGCCTCTCAGGGAGGTGCATTACCTATAGCAGTGGGAGAACCGCTCCCATCGCTGTAGTAAGTGTCTACACTGAAGCCCTGCAACAGTGCAGCTATAGTGCTACAGCTGTGCCTGTGTAGTGTTTTAAGAGTAGACATAGCCTTAGGTAAGTCAACCTATGCTATGCAACTCCAGCTACGTGAATAACGTAGCTGGAGTCGATGTACCTTAGCTCAAGTTACTGCGGGAGGTCAATGGGAGAAACTCTCCCGTCGACTTGCCTTACCCTTCTCGTCAGGGGTAGAGTACAGAGGTTGACTGGAGAGTGATCTGATGTGGTGGAAAGCTAAACGCTCTCTCTCTCTCTCTCCTCTCTTTTCATTTATAGTTGGTGTTTGAGATTGTTGCTCTTAAGTGGTGCCTGGGTCTCTAGCCAATATCCTTTCTGAGCATTAAAACTTTCATGCATATATCTTCATTTTTAGGTCCACAAATTAAAGCAAAAAGCTCAGAAATTGAAGAGACAGTCAGCTCATGTCCTACCAAAATCTGATGACCTAAAAGGAACAAGAGAAATTCCAGTTACTTCAAGCGGAAGAGCATCAAAATCCTGTCCTGTGCAGAAAAGCAAAAGCTCGCTTCAGCTATTAAAAAATGTGCAGAAACTTCAGTCAACACTGAAAAAAGATGATATCGTGTGGGAACAATAGTTTTACATATTTATATAGGTAGTGCCTCTTACTGGCATGCCAAAAAAAAATGTCTGACACTTTTTCATAGGTTTGGATTTAACAAATATTAGACAGAATTAAATGAATAATATTTCATTTATGCCATGTCTAAATGTTTTCTAACCGAATAGTAAATTTCAGTTGAAACTTAGGTTTGGGTTACTCACTTTCCCTGTAGCTATACATATTTTGTAATATCTGTTTTAACTGTTTCATGAAGTGTCCCAATTTCTTTTAACTTACAAAATTAAAAACTATCTTTTGAAATATATAAGAAATGCAATCTGTTTTTTACCCACTTTCCTCCTCATCAACGTACATGCAAACACTCTGAAATAATTAATTATGAAGTAGAGGAGGAAAGGAAAACTGCTTTAATGTAGGTCAGAAACTCAGGATTATCACATTTCCTCCATGCTCAAAGGAGATACTTAAAGCCTGCTTCTGCAGCCCTAACAGGGCCAAAATTCCCAGTGGAGTAAGTGGGAGTCTTCCTTTTGTGAGGACTGAATACTTGGGTTCTTGCAATTTAATGCAGACAAGTACCATGTCTGTCATGAACATGCACTTACTAATTTTGTAATGTAAAATTATCTAGGACATAAACTTTAGTGCCTGCATTCATGGACTGATGTTGAAGATTGCTTGTTTTGCAGAGGGAGTTTGGCAATAAGTCACTTGCAGTGATAGAGCAAAAAGGTCTTCTGTCTACAAAGTACTTTTTCTGAAAGTGCAATGGCTTGTATTATACACATTTGCTAGTCATAGGGTTTAAATGGCCTGTATTGGTTCAAATATGGTGTGGGTTCTTTTTATTAAAACAAAGAAAAAAAATCCACCATATCTGACTCTTTAATGCTGCCTAATTATAATTAATGCTAATAAGGCACCATTTTATACTGCTGCCACAGCCATGTTTTTAATATAAATATTGCTAAACTCATTTTGGCTGGATACATGGAAGGGACCAATCCTTAAAAACCTAAGTAGATGCCTAGCCTAGAACTCTGTTAACAGAGCCTGCCTAAATCGTGTAATAAACCCGTGTAGTGGAAACATGTATAAAGATGGCTGAAGCCATTGTGTGTACCTGGCCTAGAACCCTTGTCTGTACTCAAATATGTAATGAATGATCCAATCCACTACAGCTGTGGAGTTTTCAGACTCTCAGCTGCTTGCTGCTGTTAGTACAACAGAGGTACACTCTACTTCTAATATTTAGTACTTAGGGTGTGATCTACAAAGCAACTTTGTTGCCTAAGTTTGCATACATAGCACCACTGTGATGAATAAAACTCCCACTCAGCTGTGAGGTGCCTAAACTGACTCAGTGCCTACATTTCCATTGTAAAAGTTCCTAGGCACCCAAGTTTTAGCCCCTGGAGCATGTACACTGCTGGCCTGCATTAGGCAGCTGGGTGCCTACTGCTTGCTTAACCCCAACTGCGATCTATGAATCGGGAAGCTAGGCAGAGGAATACCTCTCTCTCATTTTGGGCCTGATCCGGTAGGTGTGCTCCGAGACCAGCTAGTACCTGGCTTTTACCAGCCCATGCAGCGCAGGGGGCAGAATGTGAGCGTGAGCAAGGTTTTGAGCGTGACAGAAGGGGAGGGGGAGAGAGAGAGAGAGAGAAGCAAGATCTGTTGGAGAGACAGCAGTCAGCTAGTGCTAGGTGTAGGTGGACAGGGATAGGTATTGGGTTAACACTAGGGTAGCTAGTGGGGCACAAATTAGAGACCGCTTAGGGTAGGGAAGGGGAACCACAGATAACCAAGGAAGGGAAGCGGGGAGAGGGCTGGGAAAAGGCTAGGAAGCAAGAAGGGAGACATGGGGGGCAGCTGAGCTGCTCCTAGGCAGGGTAGTGGGATGCCAGGGAGCAAGGTCCAGCATGATAAACAGTATTTTCATGTTGCAGCACCAGTTATGGCAGCAAGAGGAGGAAGAACAGGGGCAGAGGCAGTCCAACCCAACCACCAGTCTCAGGCCAAGGCCAACCTTGAGCCCTCGGCTGAGGCTATCCACCACAGCCAACCTGGTGAATTTACCAATCCCACCACAGTTTCATGGGGATCTCTCAATGGGCCTGCATCTGGTACTATGTGCTGGGCCCAGACACTCTCCAACACCTTTCTCATTCTTCATGAGAACCTCTCCACAACTGTACACAGGAGGCAGCCACTATCGGTCGCCACTGGATCAGCACCACTCTGGGGATACAGGCATCAGGATCCTTTCAGCGGATTGCTGCACAGACTACTGCCATCAGCAAGTCTACAGCCTCCAGGGTCCTAGACCAGTTCCTGGAGGCCGTAATCAGTTGTTCACAAATACATTGACTTACCAAGCCAACCAGAAGGAAAACAGAGTTCCATGGGACTGCTGCCTTCCCATGGACTACTTCCTAGGAGTAGTCAACGGTATCTGTGAGACCACTGGCCTTCGTATGTGACAACTCATCTTGGCTTCCCCTCTCCCCATCCCCTTGTCTACTGTGCCCATCTCCCTGAGTGTGAGATCACGTCCCTCCACTATTATTGAAGGGGGAATTTTAAATTCACCATATAGGGTATTTGTATCCTGTGTGTGCAGAAACCTGGTGGCAGCTGAGCTTTGTGCATGCTGTCCAGTGGGGAGTTTAATGGGCAAGTGAAGTGGTAGGTTTTGAGAGATCCAGGGGTGTCTCATGAGTATGTCTTTCAAACACATTTCTTAAGATAATGTACATCTCAGAAAGTTATTTTGTCTTGTGCTGTCAACGTGAGGCGCTTGTTAGCGCTTCAGTGGATCTATAGATTGGCATAAGCACTTGCGTGTGGGGGTTGGGAGTCACCATACTGCCTCCCCTGGCTGACCTAATTAATTCCCCACTGCTTGGTGGAACGCAGTGTTTTTCCTGTTCTCTAGATTGATTTGAACCGGGGTCTCCAACCCCCCCAAGTGGATGCTCTATCTGCTGGGCCACAGACTGTCTCTCTTGCACTCTGGCCCAATGACTCTTTTATACTTTGTCTGGAGAGGGCCAGTTATTGGGCTAGAGGAGGTTAGCATGTTTCTCTGGCTCAGTTGTTAGGGCACCTACCTAAGAAATGGGAGACCTTGGTCTGGTCCCCCTACTTGAATGATTCTTTCTTAATCTTTCATTATTTATCCACTAGTGGAACAGCTTCAACAGGAGAGATTGTGGAGAGAGGCAGGTGCTTAATTCATTCCTGCAAAAAGTGCCTAAGATGCCTGATGCCATGCAGCAACTTTCCATTCATGGATCACAAGCAGAGATGGGCGTCTCCCTGCTGCCTGGATTTAGGCATCTATCTCTGAGGGGGGGGATGAGGCTTATGATACACCCTTTTGGTCCACATCTCCATTTGACTGGCCTCGGTGACTGCCTACCTAGTTGCTTGGCTCAGGGGATTGCATTTTTAGGTGCCTATCTCTCCTCATTCGCTATATAAAGGGCCTTGGGTGCCTAATTCAATGTGGTGGATCACAGTGTTGTTCTTGTGACTTTTCTAGGTACCTAAAAGTTAGGCACAGTAATGCTGAGTGCTGCAATGCCTAGGTCCCCTTGTGTACTCCAGGGTTACTTCCTCTTTCCCCTCATGTAAATATGGCAGAATGCACAAGCTAATTATTCAGACTTGATATTATAATCACCTTGATGCAATAAATCCCTGATTTAGTGCTATCTGTCTCTGCACCACTTTTTTCCTTCCAAGGAGTAGATAGGGAGAGATGGTAATGCTAACAAAATATAGCTATATCCTAACATTTTGAAGAGGATAAATCAGTGGTTCGGTGTTAAAAACAGAAGTAGGTGAAGGAAGGAACTTGTCAAGGTAGACCCTTAATTCTCAACATGAGAAGCTTCCAAGGAAATAGTGCCTTTGTAAGAGCATAAATAAACCTCCTATTAAAAACAAGCTAACAACAAAATCACCAAACAAAAAAACCACCACCATGAAATTAACTAGGAGCAATTGCCTTTTACTTTCACACAAAGGCATATTAGCCACACCTGCTGCAAGCTTCAGCAGCTTCATGGTAGGAAAGGAATAGAAGCTGCTGTAAAGATGGCTTCCTTTTCTACTCCCAGATCCGTGGAGTACACAGACATTTTTTTTTTTTCTCCTGGGAATTATGGTCTACGCCCAACCTGCTGGCTATAAGCATTGATACTATCTGGAGTGTAGCAAGGGGAAGGGTTTGTCCAGTTGCAACTCATGTTAATTAAGGGTAATTTTATAAGTCTACATACACCAGAAATAAAACATTGTTGTGTTGTGGCAGTTCAGTGAAGTTCTGCTACTGATCTCCAGTGTGAAGAGAGCTGGGTGGTCCCCACAAATCTTTTTGCAGATAGGGCCTTGCAAAAAGTAGAGCCAAACTCTGTTTCCAGGGATTTGCAGTTGGTGTTGTCAGAAGAGGGTCTTTAATCAGAAGATAACACTGCACTGTTGTGGAATAAAGTTAATAAGCACTTTTGGACTAATGGGTTGTGCTTAGTGACCTCCCAGTGGTGAAAGAAGACTGCATATGTTTTGTGGTGTATGAGCCGTATTGTCTACAGATTCACTACAATTTATTAATTTTTTAAAAAGTTGACTAACTGGGAGTCTTATAAACTTAGTGAATTGTTTTAAAGCTTTGGTGACTGGTGGGAGACCAGCAAGTTTAATTAATGTTTATTTCTGGTCTGTTTCCCTCTAAATTGTGCCAGAGGCTGAATCTAGAATTTCTCTTATGGAGCATGTCTGGACTAGAAAAATAGGTTGTGTTTTAGAATGTGTTCCCCAACACAATTTTAAACACTAGCATACACACCTTTTAAAGACATGTTTACTGGTAGGGGTAGCCTCAAATTGACCCCAAGGATTGATCATGATCCGATAACATGGTTTTATTTTTAAGGATATCAAATCCTGTCTACATTAGTGTTTAAAAAGGCATTTTAATTATTTTCCTAGTACAGATGGGACTTGGGTGAAGAAAGGAAACCTATTTCTATACACTGAAGTCAGTATTGCTAGAGGTAGAAGCAATATTCTGCAGTTGCAAAGAGCCTGCTCTGATTTTAGGTTCATATTTCACCTTAGGAGCCCCTCTTATCTTAAACCATCTGATTTCCTGCTATCCCTATGAAGTAGACAAACATCTCAGAAGGAGGGGAGGGATAAATCAGTGGTTTGGGCATTGGCCTGCTAACCCTAGGATTCTGAGTTCAGTTCTTGAGTGGGCCATTTAGGGATCTGGGGCAAAAA